AACTAAAGAATGAGGTAGGTACCCTGCAGTTGAAGGGGTTTGGAGTAGACCGGGAATACTGCTCCAGCCCTGCTGTTAGCCATGGGTTCGATCGCTCTTTACGACTGCGGGCGGGGCCTGGGGGTGAGGGGAGTTGAAGCATTTCTGAATGACCTAGGGTTCTACAGTCCTCTTATTTTATGACTATTACCAGAAACATGTCCACACATGGGAGATATAGAGCTGATTCTACAGGTTAACATGGCTTGTAAGACATATGTTTTCTTCTAATCCTGGTTTTTCATGGTAAAGCGGTGGGCTGTCAGTTGCCAGAAGACTAAATTTTAAGGTTGTCATTTGAATGCTTTTCTCTGTTGCATGGCTACAGATTATGTCCTCCTCAATATCAGTCACTGCCTTCCCATTTTGCAAAAGGTAGAGTGGGTAGGAGGGGCTGACTTCATACAGGCTCATTGTTTATTCTCTAGAGTAAATTGAAACGAAAATGCCAAGTAGCTCCATTAATGACCACAGTTGAAAGTACTCACTCTACATCCAGGGGGCAGTCATATTGCTTTGTAATATAAAGGAAAACAACTGTTATCATAAACTTGTACTGTCTTTAGACCCAGAAAAAGAATTGGTAAATGTACACTTTCCTTCCTGCTTGAGCTTGAAACAAAGTTGTTGTTTTTAAAAAAATAAGTAATGGGTTGTAAAAAGCAAGTAGTTTCAGAACCATGTGGCTCATTAGCACCATATGGTACTCCTGTTTCAGGCATCTCTTCCTTAGGTCCTGTGTTCCTGCCTGTTTAAAATGTGAATGGTTACTTCCCCTTCCCCGCTGCAGTACATTCAGGATAGTTTAATCCTTCCTGGCACACTGTGTCCTTCAATACCTTCTTTAAAGGCATGCCTGATTTTATAATTGTTCTGTAATTGGAAGTCAGCTTCACTGGGCAAGTGCACATCATAAGCCCTTCACAGTGGCCTACCAGCCTAATTGAACTACAGAAATATAAAAGTAATTAGATGAGAGCATTTGCAAAATGAATGCATGTTAGTAATCACTGTAGTTACAAAGACCTTGCCACTCAGATCTAATTGCCTAAATGTGCTGATTTTACCAATGGGGGGGGGGTATCAAAGAAAATTCTCCATAGTCCATGACTTCAGTTTATTCTTGGTTGAGGCCCTAAGGCTTCTACAGTGTCAGAGAATTTGTTTATAACCATAGTTTCTGCATCGGGGAAGGAAATGCCATTTCTACCCCTCTCTCCTTTAAAAAAAAAAAAAGTTTTTATTGATTTTAGAGGGAGAGAAACATCAATCTGCTGCCTCCTGCACGCCCCCTACTGGGGATCGAGCCCACAACCCTGGCATATGCCCTGATCGGGAATCAAAGTGGTGACCTATTGGTTCATGGGTGGATGCTAAACCACTGAACAACACCAGCCAGGATCTCCTTTTGCAAACCAATGGAAAACAACATGGAGAATAATAAGCAGTAGAGCAAACTTCCATCTTCATTGAAATTAGGAGATATTCATATCTGGACTCATAATACTGTGTTTGCAAAAGGGCTTTCAGATTAGTGAAAACTGTACCAGTGTGAACACAGACTCAGGGAGAAGGCTGGGGCTTTAAATTTCATGGGCAGACTAGACAGAGTGCAGAATTCTTCAAAACAGACGTCACAGCTTTGGCATAAAAAAAGGTCAGGGTGCCTAGACTGAAAGCAACATGCTATTAGCACTGAGTGACCTCAGACAACAACTGAGAAAATGTATAGGAAACACATGGACTCACCATTTTAAAAGACTATGGGTGGGTGGGCAAACAGCCCTTCTATGTCTGCTAATGAAGAGTGAAGACTTCACCATGCACCAAAATCCTCCATTTAGTGGTTTCACTGGGAGCATGTAGCATGTTCTCTCATTTATGTAGAATTGTACACATACACACACACACACACAAAAGTGGGAAGGGTAGAGCTAGAACTATGCATAATGACTTATAGGAATTTCCAAGGTATATTACCAAGGTGATATGTAAATAGACTCATTCTATTTGTATAGAAACAACAAATCTCCCACATTCTTATATGTTTGGAGAAAGGCGCATATGACAGTGCATTAGCAATATTAATTTCAGGGATGTGGTAATAGAAAGAGCTGGGGTCAATAGGGTGGCGAGTAAGGTGTGTGTGTGTGTGTGTGTGTGTGTGTGTGTGTACATACAGATAGTCCCAAACTTATGATATTTTAACTTTGTGATGGTGTGAAAGTGATAGACATTCAGTAGAAACCATACTTCAAATTTTGCATTTTGATCTTTTCCTGGGCTAGTGATATGTGGTAAGATACTCTCTCTTGATGCTGGGCAGTGGCAGTGAGCTGCAGCTCGCAGTCAGCCATGCAATCTCAAGGGTAAACAACTGATACTCTAGAGGGTACTGTGTTGCCAGCATCTTTAAGCTACCGTGATTTGTGTTTTCACATCCCATCATGTCTACAAAATGCCCATCTGTGTCTCCTGTTTCTGGTGAGAAGGGAAGGCAATTACTCTTGAGATGAAACTCAAGATTAATTGTCCAACTGTAGGCTAATGTAAGTGTTCTGAGCACATTTAAAGTAGGCTAACTAAGCTATGATGTTTAGTAGGTTAGTAGGTTAGGTGTATTAAATGCATTTTCAACTTAAGGTATTTTCAACTTATAATGAGTTTATTGGGATGTAATCCCATCGTAAGTTGAGGAACATCTGTAACATAAACATTTTTAAATTACAACTTGGTATTAATTACTTTTTGTAATTTGAAAAAGAAAAATGCTTTCCAAAAAACAGGGCAATAATTGTTTTCCTTGAAATAATAATTAAAAAAAGAAAAAAGAGCTCAGGGAAGAGCTAAGAGCTACAAACATCCAAGGAATAGTAATGGTAACAGACATAATTAGAAAATTAGTTGGTCAGAGAGGTACACTAGAAACAGCAAAGAGATTCTCTTAGAGATTCTTAAAAATAAAACTGAATAAAAAAAATGCAAAGAGTTAAAGAGAGAAAAATAATAGCCATAGCAGACAAAGGAGAACCAATATATGAATAAGTGGCATTCCTGACACACTAACCAAGGATTTTAAAAAGGCTGACACCAGAACATGAGAACAGAGGGAAAAGACATATAAATACGTTTTCATAAAATAGAGTCTATATACTATAAGGGCACATTGAGTTCCAAGAAAATTTTGATACAAATGACAGAAAACTAGAAATATTCTGGTATGTTATACTTCAGATATAAACAGTTCTTTGGGCATTTGGCTTGCTACTTCACCACCACCACCACCACCACCACCACAAAAGAAAGCCAACTATTTACACCTAGATTTTTAAAAATTTCTTTTGTACATGAACAAAAAGAAAAATATAAATAAATTACTTAAGGTATTTCAAAACCTTTTTCACATTCTTTTTTAGTGTGTGAGTCCAGTCATTAGTGTTTGTATTTTCTCACACAGAGTGGTCTTTATGGTATGAAGCACTTCATTAAAGAGCATCCACCATTGTCTCTGGAATTTTCTTCTGAGACACATTAAGTCTCAGAACCCATTAAAGAAGCAAGTTTGATGCTGATGCTTTCCTGGTCAGTGGAAGTATCAATGGGAGGTTTTCAAATCTCAACCAGGACTTATTTCTTCCTCAAATTGTCTTTACGTGGTTTTTTGACTGCAGTGTAGCACCATTTTGCAGCTGTGTCACTAGGAACATAACCAAATTTGCACATTAAAAGGCTTACAGTTATGCCCTATAACAGGTTCACTCCTTGAGGGAGATATTGATTTAACCATCCATGTGGTCTATCATATTATTTCTTAAAAATATTTGCTACTCTCCTTATGACAGGCCTTTAGCCTGGGCCTTGGAAATGAAGAAAACATGGAGTATGGCCAAAATTGACCCTCAATAAATATATAATGTGAGTTAAAAATAAACTTGTAAACCACCAAGATTTTTGGCTTGTTACTATAGCCCAGTTTGGCTTAAGATAACTGGTATAACCCTCTAAGCACATGGGATTTAAACCTAGTTTTAGACTAGTCTAGGTGCTCTCCAGAAGGACTCTTGATTTCTGCAAGACTTCCTCAGGGCAGGCAATGAGTGGGTGACTCATGATTGGTCCTCCTGGATGTGAGATTCAAGTTCAGGCTCTTTCAGTTCAGCCAGGGTGAAGGCAGAGTGACCTAACCTGAGATATTTTTAAAACGAGCCACTCTGGACTACTTAGAGACTTGAACTAAGTGGGTGTGGCTGAGTCATAGTGCACTTGTTGCAAGCTGGCATTTGTACCTGTATTCTGGTTAAATGTCCTGAAATTCTAAGGTTAGAACATGTTTGGGGACTGGAGACAACACCTCACTTTGGGATGCCATAGTAGTTCTCAGTGGGGAAGGGGCTGGGGAGGGAAG